CACTGATCCATATGTCCTTCTTTAGGCCAGATCCACACTATTTTGATTGTTATAGTTTTGTAGTAAGTTTTGAAACTGGAAAGTGTAAGAAGTCCAACTTTCTTCTTCTTTTTCAAGATTGTTTTGGCAATTTGGGGTCCCTGGAGATTCCTTATGAATCTTAGGATGTATTTTCCTATTTCTGCAAGAAAGGTTGTTAGATTTTCTTTTTTTTTTTTTTTTTTTTGAGAGCTGGGTGGGGGGGTCTCACTATGTTGCCCAGGCTGGTCTTGAACTCCTGGCCTCAAGCAATCCTCCCTCCTCAGTCTTCCAAAGTGTTGAGATCACAGGGATGAGCCACCATGCCCAGCCATTGTTAGGATTTTGATAGGGATCACATTGAATCTGTAGTTCACTGTGGGTAGTATTAACATCTTAAATAAGAAAACTTTTGGCTGGGCATGGTGGCTCACACCTGTCATCTCAGCACTTTGGGAGGTTGAGGCAGGTGGATCATTTGAGGTCAGGAGATCCAGACCAGCCTGACCAACACAGTGAAACTCTGTCTCTACTAAAAAATACAAAAATTAGCTGGGCATAGTGGTGTGTGCCTGTAATCCCAGCTACGCGGGAGGCCAAGGCAGGAGAATCGCTTGAACCCAGGAGACGGAGGTTGACTTTGTCTCAAAAAAGAAAAAAAAAAAAAGAAAACTTTTTGATGATGAAAAAGTTGTGTATCTTATAATGATAGTTACATAATTGCATGTATTTTTCAAAGTTCAAGGCTGGGCATGCTAGCTCACACCTATAGTTCCAGATGGGAGGCCGAAGAAGGAGGATTACTTGCAACCAGGAATTCAAAAGCAGCCTGAACAATGAGCAATGCAATGAGACCCTGATATCCACCAAAAAAAAAAAAAAAAAAAAGTTAGCCAGGCATGGTGGCACATGCCTGTAGTCCTAGATACTCAGGAGGCTGAAGTGAGAGGATCACTTGAGCCCAGGAGTTCAAGGCTGCAGTGAATTATGATCATGCCCCCGCACTCCAGCCTGAGTGACCACAGTGAGACTGTGTCTCAAAAAAAAAAAAAGCCCGGCGCGGTGGCTCACGCCTGTAATCCCAGCGCTTTGGGAAGCCAAGGCGGGCGGATCGCGAGGTCAGGAGATTGAGGCCATCCTGACTAACACGGTGAAACTCTGTCTCTACTAAAAATACAAAAAAAATTAGCCAGGCGTGGTGATGGGCGCCTGTAGTCCCAGCTACTCAGGAGGCTGAGGCAGGAGAATGGCGTGAACCCGGGAGGCGGAGCTTGCAGTGAGCCGAGATCGTGCTACTGCACTCCAGCCTGGGTGACAGAGCAAGACTCCATCTCAAAAAAAAAAAAGAAAAAAGAAAAAGAAAAGAAAAAATTCATAGGACTGTACCCTTGAAATGAGTACATTTTATTGCAGGTAAAGGATACCTAAAAAAAAAATGATTTTAAACTTTAAAGGTCAGGTACAGTAGTTCACACCTGTAACTCGAGCACTTTGGGAGAGGCTAAGGCAGGAGGATCCACTTGAGCCCAGGAGTTCAAGACCAGCCTGGGCAACATAGCAAGTCCTTGTCTCTTATTTTAAAAAATAAAATAAAAATAGCTGGGCATGGTGGCATGCACCTGTAGTCCCAGCTACTCAGGAGGCTGAGGTAGGAAGATCACTTGAGCCCAGAAAGTCAAGGCTGCAGGGAGCTGTGATCACACCACTGCACTCTAACCTGGGTAACAGAGTGAGACTGTGTCTTCCCCCCACAAAAAAATAAAAAAGGAAAAAACTTTATAAAGATATCCTGAGCCTGGGCAACATAGCAAGACTTGTGTCTCTACCAAAAATTTAAACATTGGCCAGGCATGGTGGCACACACCTGTAGTCCCAGCTGCTTGAGAGGCTGAGGCAGGAGAATTGCTTGAATCCATGAGTTCAAGTCTGCAGTGAGCTATGACTGCAATACTGAGCTCCAGCATGGGTGACAGCGTGAGACCTTGTCTCAAAAAATAAATAAATAAAAATAAAAAAGATTGTGTGGACCATGTGCTGGAGAAGCTTGTGTCACTGTGTACGGGGGAGAAAAAACACCAAGAAAAGCCTGCTATCTCTAGCCAAAGGACTCAAACAGGGCAGCCCAGCAAGACAGAAAGCTGAGCACTGAGTCACAAGACATTAGATTTATGTCTGTGGCAACAAAACATAATTTACAACATCCTCCTTTGACTTTCGGGTATTGTATTCTCTGGCATTCCACCTTTTTAACCACTTCTTCTAAATCTGTCCTGAGCCTTAGTGTCTTCTAATTATCAGTAGGCTTCAGTCTCATTTAAATGAAGTGAGGCTGGTGAAAACCTGGTGCCCCAAATGTGACTCTTCAGCCAGCGACATACTGCATCCAAATCCAGGAGCAGGCTCTGAATCATGCCTTCATCTTCAGGACTCCTTGCATTTGTTCATGTAGTCCACTTAACCTGAAATGCTCTTCTCCATCCATCAAAATCCTTCTTAACCAGCTGATGGACTCTATTCAGCTTTCCGATATCCCTCAGTCAGAACACACTGCTTCTTCCTCTGTGTCCTGGGCTTCTAGCACACAGGGACAGAATGAAACAAGCCCAGGACACAGAGGAAGTGAATCCATTTATTTTATATGCACCACCTGCCATTGCCCTAGACATACATTTGATGGATGAATACATGAATAATTTGATCTTCATAAAGACTTCCACAGGAGACAAATTAAATATGAGAGAAAAGTGCGGTCCCTAAATATATGCACAGGGCTGAGAAGATGGGGGAAGCCTAAAAGTAGATGTTAGGTGTAGATCTCAAGGTGTTTTCATGGGAGGAAACCTGGAGGTGCTGGTCAAGAGCTGTTGGGTGGGTACATTGGTGGGGATGGTAGAGGACTATGTAGAGATAACATAAAAGGTTCGGAATGGCTGATATTTCAGGAGATTGAGGGGACAATGAGAAAGGGTGACCATGCCTGTGAGCAGTTCTTGCCTTTTGAATAGGTACCCCATTCCACACATACCTTCGCTATTTTTATTTCATATTGTTTCTTGAAGATTTCTTCATAAAACAAAACTACTCCTGAGCATTCAGCTTCTATCAGCTACATTTTAGTTACCAGTTGAGCCAGTATGTGAAAGTCAACTCCTGTAGGAAATAGAGTGCGATGGTCAGCTTTATGTGTCAGTTTGGCTAGACTACAGTCCCCTCTTATTCAATCAAACACTAATTTAGGTGTTTCAATGAAGGTAATTTGTTGATGTGAATTAAATCCATAATCAGTTGACTTTACGTAAGAGAGATTATTCTAAATCATCTGAGTGGGCCTGATTTAATCTGTGGAAAGGTTGTAATTGCAGAACTAAGGCTTCTCTGCAGAAGAAGAAATTTCTCTGTAGTTAACTTCAGCTGGTGTCTAAGAGACCAGGCCTGCTTTTCTAGGGTGTCCTGCGAGCTGCCACCATCACACAAGCCAATTCTGTGCAAAAACTCTCTTAATGTATATTTCCTGCTGGTTTTGTCTGTCTGGTTGAACCCTGAGGGTTGGAGGTTCAGCATAAGGGGGCTTGCACAGAGGAATAAAGGAGGAGAATCAGGCAGCAACGGGAGTACTGGCAGGGGGGTTGATTTGATAATTTTGCCCAAGGCAGGTATTATTTGGGGGAAAAAAAAGGGACAAAAAAGACAAGAGCCAGAGGAGACCAAGAATTCAAGAGTGAAGGTGGAAAAGGTGAGGAGACTGGCTATCCCACAAACTCACTCTTCTTCAAGTTATTCTTCACAACAGCACAAGCTCACTTTGCCTTCTTTGTGCGTTTCTTTTTCCCAAGCCAAACTGTATCCAGCTTTATTAAAGATAATTTCCATAAAGAATCGTGGTATTTTGGGCAGCACATGGGCAGACAATCGTTAACAGTATACAACAACTTTCAAACTCCCTTCTTCAATGGACTACCAAGAATCAGAAAGCCACTGTAACATCCAGTGAAGTCTTCCTCTGATGCTGTGAACAGGGAAAGTTTAGAGTGAGGGTTGACATTTCACATTTAGCATATGCTGTTTAACAACTTGTCGTGAGCCGACCCTGGCTTTCAGGAAGTGAAATGAAACTGACACAATTTATCTGAAGATCCCCAACCTAGAAACAGGAACCACTGCTCTTTTGAGGGGAAAGTCCAGATTGTCTGACACACTGGTAACCAGTTATTGGAGGTCAGCTCCTAGAAGATGTCTGGGTTTAAGGGATTTAAGGCTATTCTGAAAGGTAGAAAGAAGAGGACATAAAAAATGAATTTGTTTTTTCATACCACAAGGTTTTTGTACCAAGGTGGCCATGTGTGTCAAAGTCAGGGAATCCCTCCTCCTGGGGCCCAAGAGGAAGTCTCTCAAAACTAGAAGGAAAAGGTGTTTTCCCCACATCAGTCCAGCGTCGAGGACTTTCTATTAGCGACACATGGCCCTTCCCCCCAAAACAATAATTAAGTGTTCTGTGTAGTAACAACATAGCTTAAAAAAACAAAAAAAAGCAAAACAAAATCTGCATTTTGATAAAACTTGATTAAAAAATAGTATTTCAGGCTGGGCGCGGTGGCTCACGCCTGTAATCCCAGCACTTTGGGAGGCCGAGACGGGCGGATCACGAGGTCAGGAGATCAAGACCATCCTGGCTAACACAGTGAAACCTCGTCTCTACTAAAAATGCAAAAAATTAGCCGGGCGTGGCGGCGGGCACCTGTAGTCCCAGCTACTCGGGAGGCTGAGGCAGGAGAATGGCGTGAACCTGGGAGGCGGAGCTTGCAGGGAGCCGAGATCGTGCCACCGCACTCCAGCCTGGGCGACTGAACAAGACTCCATCTCAAAAAAAAAAAAAAAAAAAAATAGTATTTCAAACTGTACAGTCACCAGAAGTACACGGTTATCAAAAATGCATACACTTCGCTTGGCATCTACAGCACCTTCAGCTTTCCATGCCTAGTCTGTTTTGGCATCTCTATTTTCTGCAGGGTTATTCGCCTCCTTGCCAGCATCAGCTTTTCCCTTTTTCTCTTTAGGTACCTTCTGTCTCTTTTTTGCAGAGGCCTTTTTAGGCTTGGGCTCTGGCTTTGCAGGAGCAGGTTCAGCAGACAACCTTGTGGATCTTCTCTGCGGTTCTACCTCACCTTGGCTTTATCTCCTTTAGCATCCCCTTCAGCCTTACTCCCGGGCATGGTGGCAGCGACCGTGGTGGGACATGGGCGCTGGGCGCAGGATGCAGCGGAGTGCGGGCTTTGGTCGGTGTGGAGATCACCGCCTCTTCTTCTTCACACTGCTCCTCTCTGTGCATTTCTGTTCTTTATTGTAGCCAGAGAAGCAAATGCATACCTTTGCAACTAACACTTCCAGACTCGTCTGCAAAATCAAGTGCAGTAAATAAATAAATAAATAAATAATCACGGGTCCCTTTTAGATAGTGTTTCCCCCCAAATACCATGAATAACTTCAGTAAATTTTTGATAAATGCTTGTAGGTATTGTAAACTAAATGTGTATTTTAATAACTCAGATGCAAAAATATAATCTAAAGCTGGAATAAATCAGATGTTTGGATAAATACACACGTCAGCTAATAAAAAAATGGCAATGTATGTGAGCTTTAAAAGAAGGAAGAAAATGGCCCTTGACTGTGGTCCAGCCTTCAAGGGACTAGCAGAAGTTAAGTGCCTGGGCTTGACAAAAACCAGAAATAAGCAAAACGTTGAGAGGGCAAAACTGGGCAAACTAAACTGTAAATTTAAAATAATCTGCAATTGGATGAGAAATGTAAAAAACTAGGCTAAAATTTTTCACATACAAAATAAATATAAAAAATAAATTGAGATAAATTTGAAAATCTTTGTGGTAAAATTTCTTCTGAAAGGAACAAACTATGATATACACCATACATGGAAAAATCTCAAAAACAGGCTGAGTGAAAGAAGCCCATACTAAAAAGTGTACACTGTGTGTATCCTTTCATATAATGGTCCTGAACAGGTTAAAACTCATCTACAGTGGAAACATAATCAAAACAGTGGCAGCTACTGGGGGAATGGGCTGAGGAAAGGATTGACTGGCATGGGTAAGAAGGAACTTTCAGGCCGGGCGCGGTGGCTCAAGCCTGTTAATCCCAGCACTTTGGGAGGCCGGAACGGGCGGATTACGAGGTCAGAGATCGAGACCATCCTGGCTAACACGGTGAAACCCCGTCTCTACTAAAAATACAAAAAACTAGCCGGGCGAAGTGGCGGGCGCCTGTGGTCCCAGCTACTCGGGAGGCTGAGGCAGGAGAATGGCGTGAACCCGGGAGGCGGAGCTTGCAGTGGAGCTGAGATCCGGCCACCGCACTCCAGCGTCGGCGTGAGAGCGACAGAGCTCAGACTCGGTCTCAAAAAAAAAAAAAAAAAAAAAAAAAAAGAAGGAACTTTCTAGGGCAATTATTAGTCATCAGGAAAATACAATTTACAATTAAATGCAAATTAAGACTATGATGAATTGCCACAATTACAGACTACAGTGAATTACCACAATTAAAACTATGCATAAGGATAGGCATATACATCAGTCGAATTGAGAGTCCAGAAATAAATCCATACATTGATGTCAACTTGATTTTCCACAAAGGGATCAAGGCAACTCAGTAAGGAAAGAACCGTCTTTACAACAGATCCTAGGACATCTGGATATCCACATGCAAAAGAATCAGTTTGGACCATTTCTTCACATCAGGTACAAAAGTTAACTCAAAGGGGATCATACACCTAAAAGTAAGAGCTAAAGCTATAAAACGCTTGGAAGAAAACACAGGTGTAAATCTTTGTGACTTTGGATTAGTCAACAATTTCTAAGATACAATACCAAAAACACCACCAGCAGCAACAACAACAACAACAACAAAAAAAAAAAAAAAACACATAAATTAGAATTCACCAAAATTAAATGAAAAAAAAAAACCCACCTGACAATACCAAATGTTGGTGAGATGAGGAATGATCACTCATACTTTCCTAATGGAGGTGTAAAACAATATAAATACTTTGACAAATTAGCAATTTCCTGCCAAGTTAAACATATATCTATCCCATAACCCAGGAATTCCACTCTTAGCTCTTTACCTAAGAGAAACGGTGAGTACCTATGAATATTCTTACCAAATTCTTTTTTTTTCTTTTTCTTGAGACGGAGTCTTGCTCTGTCACCCAGGCTGGAGTGCAATGGCACAATCTTGGCTCACTGCAACCTCCCTCTCCCAGGTTCAACCTCCTGAGTATCTGGGACTACAGGCACCTGTCACTACACCTGGCTAATTTTTGTATTTTTTTTATAGAGACAGAGTTTCACCAAGTGGCCAGGCTGGTCTCAAACTCCTGGCCTCAATTATCCACCGGCCTCAGACTCCCAAAGGAAAATTCTTTTTATGAAGAATGTTGTTGACTCAGTAGCCCCAGTGCAAGGAAGTTTCTCAGGCAAGATGACAGCAAAGAAGCTCTGGTGCTCCCTATTTGGGGTAAGAGTTCAAGCTTAGGATATCTCTTTGGAAGTCTTTATCTAAATACCTAGTTATCAAAAATAGTCAGTAAGCTCTATTTCTTTTTTAATAAAAGGAAAGGAACTTATCTGATCTCAGAAACTAAGCAGAGTTGGGCCTGGTTAGTGCTTGGATGGGATACCTCTTGGAATACTGAGTGCTGTAGGAAGGCCAGGCATCATGGCTCATGCTTACAATCCCAGCACTTTGGGGGCCATAATGGGAGGATCACTTGAGCCCAGGAGTTTGAGACCAGGCAACAGAGTGAGATGTCATCTCTACAAAAAATAAACCAAAAATTAGCCAAGCATAGTGACACGCAGCTGTAGTCCCAACTACTTGGGAAGCTGAGGTGGGAGGATTGCTTGAGCCCAAGAAGTTGAGGCTACAGTGAGCCAAGATGGCACCACTGCACTCCAACCTGGTCAACAAAGCAAGACTCTGTAAAAAAAAAAAAAAAATTCACTGCAAAGAAAGAAAAAAGAAAGATAAATTGACCCCCATAATTATGCATAATCTGTCCAAAAGTTGAACTAAAATGGGGTTATCGTTCCTGTTCTGGTTACCAATTATTATGTAACAAGCTACCCCAAAACAACTTTGTAGGTCATGAATTTAAGCAGAGACCAGGTGGAGAATTCTGTTCCATGAGGCATTGGTGGAGGACACTTGGCATTCATCTGGCATGCAGAGTGGTGTGGCGGGTCCAAGCTGGTTTCCCTCGTGTTTCTGATATCTTGGCTAGAAGACCAGGCTAAACAGGGATTACCGATCACAGCATCTACACATTGCCTCTCTAGCACAGTGGCTCAGGGTAGCTGGACTTTTTATGATGACAAGAATCTATAAACAAATGTCCTAGTTAACAAGGCAAAGAGGCTGCATGGTCTTCTGTAACTTAGGCTTGAAATTCACAGAGCAACACTTCTGCCATACTCTATCAGTCAAAGCAGTCATGAATCCACCCAGATTCAAAGGAAGGGAATATAGATCCCACATTCAATGGGAGAAATGTCAAAGAATTTGTGATCATCTTTTAAAACCATTACAATCCTACTGGAAGACCCTTTAATAAAACACTGCACAGGCCACGGGCCCTGGCTCTCCTAGGAGCCAAGCATAAAGGGAAGAAAAGGTATAAATAACCTGGTATTGCTGGGGACAAATCTGGGCTGGGGACAGAACAAGGAAATATTTTGCTACAAGTTCCTTGTCTTGCCTATGATTCTTGGTACACCACTATGGAAACATCAAGCAATCAAAATTGTACTGCCAAGCAAATCTTTTTTTGTGGGATGGAGTTGCGGGAACATTTTGCACGGCATGGAAAGGAGAAGTAAGGCAGGGCATGTTCATTCTCTAACCCTGTAGTCAGTGAGAATTAAGTATCTTTTTGTTACTAGGACTAATGAAATAATAGTATGTTATATTTATTTGTATATTGCTTATAATTTTCAAAGGCTTTCATATAGGTTATCCCATTTGATCCTGGCAATAATACTGTGGGATTAATATTATTAACATCTTCATGATACAGATGAAGATACCAAGGCTCAAAGTCAATCATTTCATTGCCAAGGTCTCAAAAAGATTCTAATAAGTACCAGGGTAAATCAAGACCCAAAGTACAGAATTCCAAAGCGTGGGACAGATACCTTGTTACAGTCACGAAATATTAATTCTAGATTTGGGGATTTAAATTCCATGTGTTCTGGTGACATATGCTCAAAACCAAGCAGAGAAAGGAAATCTAACAATATAAAAAGAAACATGAGTCAGACTTTTGGTCAGCTCTGTGGTGACGTTAAGGCACAAGAGTGGAGTTATTTGACTCATAAACTTCCCTTCTGCAACAATACCACGGAGCAGAGAACCAGTGGATTTCCTCACTACAAATCAGTGTAAGATCCTGACTCTCATACATAACACCATACAACCGCATTTGGGCTCTTTCATGGCATGAAAAGAAAAGGAAAACACGCAGAATCACTTTAGCTTTGAACCTGCAGAATTGTCCATATACATTCATATTCAACGCACATGCTCCCTGAAAAATATCAAACAATATATAGAAGTATGGAAAGTGTCAGGCCTCTGAGCCCAAGCCTGCATGTATACATCCAGACGGCCTGAAGCAAGTGAAGAATCACAAAAGAAGTGAAAATGGCCAATTCTTGCCTTAACTGATGACATTACCTTGTGAAATTCCTTCTCCTGGCTCAGAAGCTCCACCACTGAGCACCTTATGACCTCCGTCCATGCCCACCAGAGAACAAACCCCTTTGACTATAATTTTCCACTACCTCCCAAATCCTATAAAATGGCCCCACCCCAATCTCCCTTCGTTGACTCTCTTTTCGGACTCAGCCCGTCTGCACCCAGGTGATTAAAAAGCTTTATTGCTTACACAAAGCCTGTTTAATGGTCTCTTCACACGGACGCGCGTGACAGAAAGTAATCGGCTGGGCACAGTGGCTCATGCGTGTAATCCCAGCACTTTGGGAGGCTGAGGCAGGAGGACCATGAGGTCAGGATTTCAAGACCTGCCTGGCAAATAAGGTGAAACCCTGTCTCTACTAAAAATACAAAAATTACCTGTGTGTGGTGGTGTGTACCTGTAGTCCCAGCTACTCAGGAGGCTGAGGCAGAAGAATCACTTGAACTCAGGAAGTGGAGGTTGCAGTGAGCCGAGATGGTGCCACTGCACTCCAGCCTGGGCAACAGAGTGAGACTCCGTCTCAAAAAAAAAAAGAAAAGAAAAAGAAAGTAAATAAAGTCTTTCTCTCCTCCCTACTCTTTCTTTATTCCTACACTTTGGTATATATCCTTCCAGTTTGGTGTGCAAG